CTGGAGCTTACCAGTAAGTCTGATAACCTCCTGAGTTTGATCCCAACAACCCACGTGGTGGAAGGAGAGAACCAATTCCTCCTGCAGGTTGTTGCCTGACCTCCTCATGTATACCATTGTGCATGTGTACACACACACACACACACACACACACACACACACACACACACACACACACACACACACACACAACCGACAAATAAATGTACTCAAAAATTAGAAGTAACACCTGGAGGCTAAGGCTTATACATGAGCCTTGTTCTGGGGATACTTTACATCTAAACCATAACACTTCTCATGCTCAGGTGCACAGTTTCTAAAATCATGCTGGTCATCATTGCTGAGAAAATGATCCAAGCCGATTGTCTGACAGAGATCTTCCATCATCATCACACAGTGGGGTAGCATGCCCCATCAGTGCTGGTCTAGTTCCCTGGAGCTCTCTCAGCTTGCTCTCCAACCAGACCTAAAGCTGACTCTGGTAGGTTAACAGAATTTTGGGGGGATTTGACTCTTGAACCAAACAATTCTACCTAAATATTAAAAAAAAAATTTGTGTATGGCACTTGTGTGCCTTTAAATATTTTAAAACTACATTTAGTTATTGTGTGTACGTGGACAGACGTATGTATACCATAGGATGTGTATGGTGGTCAGAGGACAATGTGTTTGCTTTTCTCCTTCCACCCTGGAGACCTGGGGGCTGTCAAGCATCATTCCCCATTGAGCCATCCTGTGTACCTTCCACTCCACCTCTTAAGAGATCTCTCACTGAACAGAATTGGCTACTTATGGAGACTGCTAGCAAGCCATGGTTAGAGAGGCCTACACCAAGGTTCCAGAGAAAATCCTGTGTAGTTAGGCAATGTAGCAGAACCAGGCTCTTTGCTGTGTGAAATTGTGAAGGTGAAACAGAGAAGACCTCAGGATCTTGGAAATACCAGGAATGTATCATGTCTGCCAAGGTAAGCTACAGGTAACAGGGCTGAAAGGATAGGCCTTCCCAAGCCTGTAGGAAATCACATCATGCCACCATGTGTCCCAAACACTAGTCATGGAACCATAGGATTTGGTGTTCTCCCTGCTGGGTGTTGGCCTTGGGAAACCTTGCAGAATCCCTGGTTGGAATGGGATTGTTCACTCTGTACCACTATTTAACGGAAGCATGCAACTAGCTGTTTTAATTTTTACAGGGCCTCACAGTTAAGAAGGCTTAGCTTTGACTCTCAGAAGAGATTTTGGACATGGAATTTTGAATGGTGTTGGAAGTGTTAAGACTATGGAGGCACAAACTAGACGAAATGCATTTTGTCTTGTGGAATGACAGTTAATCTTTGGGAGCAAGGGGTCAAAAAGGCTGTTTTCTGGTCATGAATTTCCTCTTTTGTTGTTTTTCATCTGGAGAGGTGTCTTAGTTTGGGTTTCTATGGCTATGAAGAGACACCATGACCATGGCAACTCTTATAAGGAAAACATTTAATTGGGGTGGCATACAGTTTCAGAGGTTTAGTCCATTATCATCATGGCGGCATGCAGGCAGACATGGTGCTGGAGAAGAAGCTGAGAGTCCTATATCTTGTAGGCAACAGAAGTGGTCTGTGTGTTGTCACACTGGCAGTATCTTGAGCATATGAGAGACCTCAAAACCTGCCTACACAGTGACACACTTCTTCCAACAAGACCACATCTACTCCAATAAGGCCATACCTCCTAATAGTGCAAATCCCTTTGGGGGCCATTTTCTTTCAAACCACCACAGAAGGTCTTATTTCTTCTTCATTCCCAAAGGCTAGCTTTGCTGGATACAGCAGCTTAGTCCAAAATGATTTTTTCTCAAGACCTGTAGTACATCACTTCATCCCCTCCTGGCTTGTAGTTTCTGCTGAGGAATCTGCTATTAATTCAACTGGAACATCCTGGATTGTGACTAGGGCTTTCTTATTTTAAAATAGATTTTAAAATCTTTTCTTTGCCACGTACTTCAACACTATGCTTGACTATAGTATTCTGTATTAAAGATCTTTTCTGGTCACATTAAGGTTCTAATATACCTCATTTGCATATATGCCTGCATTTTACCCAAGATTTGAATTCTTGCCACATTATTTCATTGAAATTGTTTGTGTCCTTAACTTTTTCCTTCAATTTTGAGTATTCAAAAAATATACTCTTTGTTCATTTAATGGTGTCCCAGAAGTCCTGAATATATCTTCTTGCCCCAACTGAGCTTTCAAAAGGCCCGTCTTCAAGTTCAGATATTCTTTTACAATTAAAATAAATTAAACTAAAATATAATTACATCATTTATCCCTTCCCTTTCCTCCCTTCAATGCCATCCATATCCCCTTACTCCCTCTCAAATTCATGGTCTCTTTATTAGCTGCACAGCGCATAAATATACAAATACAGCCTGCTGAGTCCATTTGGTGGTGGTCAGTCACTGACCACTTGCTACTAGATAACCAATTAGGGGCTCACCCCTGGGTTCTTTGTCTAGGGGTGGGGTATCATTGGATTTTCAATAGATGTTAGAGTGTCTATTAGTGTTGTCACTGTTCAGGTCTTGTTTAGGACCATACTGTTGAGGTGTCTTGGGTATAACTTCCTTGTCACTTTCTAGGGGACACAATCTCACAGCAGACCTCCTGATCTTCAGCCTTTTACAATCTTTCTACCCTCTTCCATTATGTTCCTGAGCCTTAGGTGCAGGAATTGAATTGTAGATGCATCAGTTGGGGCTTGGTACCCCATGGTCAGTTTTTCTCTTCATTTTTGACCAATTGTTTTCATTGATGGTCTGTCTTCTGCAAAGAGGAGTTTCTTTGATAAGAAGTGTGGTGGTCTGAATGAGAATGGCCCTCATGGGCTCATAGATGTGAAAGCTTGGTCACCAGGGAGTGGCACTATTTGAAAAGATTGGAGGAAGTGTCTCACTGGGGGTGGGCTTTGAGGTTTCAAAAGCCCAAGCCAGGCCCAGTCAGTTTCTTTCTCTCTTTTCCTCCAGCCTGTGGATTGGGATATAAGTTCTCTCCTACTGCTCTGTACCAAGCCTGCCTGCCTGCTGCCAAACTCCCCGGCATGATGGTCATGGCTCAGCCTCTGAAACTGTAAGTTAAACCCCCAATTAAATGTTTTCTTTTATAAGAGTTGCGATGGTCATGGTGTCTCTTCAGGGCAACAGAACAAACACTGACCGAGGCAAAGGGTGAGGACTACACTTAGCAGGCTGGATCGGGGCACAGTATGGGCTAGCCTGGCTGGACCTGGATATGGTATGTCATGGTTGGATGGGATAAAGTCACAAGTTCAGATACTCTTTCTTCTGCTTAATCTAGATTGTCTGTTGAGGCTAGCAACTCTATCTTTTATTTAATTTACTGAGTTTTTCATCCCAAGATTGCTGTTTGGTTCTTTTTCAATGTATTTCTCTATGGAATTTTGCATTCATAATATGTGATACCTCTTTAATATCATCTCACTAACTATATTCTCTAGGATCTCACTTTTTAAAATACAATCATTCCTTTATCTTTCAATTGTTTCTTTGGAAATTAGCATAAAAAAGGGTGGGTTTCACTATGACACATTTGTCCTTTACTTGGCTCATATTCACCCCTGCAATGCCTTTTATGTCCTTCTCCACTGGCCCTTTGTCTCCCCAGTAATAATCATTCCTTTTCATTGTTTATTTGGAACTTATTGCCATAGTTAGAGTTTTCTTTGAGAGGATGCCACCTCATCCATTCAGATTCTTTATGCTCCTACACTGGGATCTGTGTACCTGGAGTTCAGAAATCTCTATTTTGATGAAATGACCCTCTTAGTAGGCAGATTTCCCCTGAAGGTGTACACTGAAGTATTGTGCAATATTGGCTCTGATTCTAGATGGCCACCACAGAACAGTTTCCCTGGTTGTGATTAATGACTCTGTGCAGTGTGTGCCGCACCGGTCTGTGGAGCAGACAGTGATGGGGGTGAGGTACTTCTACAGCGGGAGTTAGAGCCCTCTCAGACAAAGGGCTTCAGGATCTGCTGATGCCAGCTTTGCTAATAGCAAAGGCTCTCGGCATGAGAGGCTCCAGCAGTGGTTCAATCAGCGGTGCAGACTAGACACTCACAGGAAGCTGGGAAGTTCAACGTTCACTTGGTGGGGCTTATACCCAGTCTTGACAGCAGCATGTGGTCAGACAGGGGGAGTGGGTAGGGCAGCAGAGACTTCCTGGGTGGGGTGGGAGCCGAATCTTGGTGCTCCTTTGTGCTTCTTCTACAGAGCACCCAGGTGGACTGTATAGCCAGAGCTGAGTCAAGTTCTCTTTGGCTATGTACATCTGGGGACTGGTCAATGCTTGACTCCATGGAATTGCCCAAAAACCCTTCAGCATACTCACATAGGCAGAGCAGCAGGAACATTGCACTCTTCTTGCTGATAGGCATTTGAGTGTAGTGTACTGGGAATAGGCGGCAGGAACTTCGTGGGCCTTCAGTGAGCCTATATGCATATGGCTGGCCACGCTCCTGATAGCCAGACCTTTTCAAAGGGAAAGCACTCTTATCTCCTGATTCTAGAGGGTGACACTTTTCTGTCACAATGCCTGTCCCCTACAGTATATATAGGGCAGAGTGAATGTCTGTGGCATTCCAAAGATGGGACACAGATGAGGATTCAGTGCCAGTTTAAGTTCACCCTGGGGCATGGGTGGCAGTCAGTGGAATACGTGTGCTCCTTTTCCAAAGGAGATAATACTTGTACATTTCCAGGTTCCTGACATCAGTGAGCTGTAAGCATGAAGGTTATGCAAACTTCCAGGGGTGAAAATTGCTAACAAACACTGACTGTGTGCTGGGCCTGTTTCCCTCACAGGAGGCTTGTCTTCCTCTAGCTGTGGATGTGGGGTAGCAGGCACCAAGACTCTGTTTTCCTTACTATGCTGTTGTCCAGGGTCCCAGACTCTCACAGGAGTCCAATCTCTAATTTCCAGGGAGCTCTAATGACCACTCACCTCGGAACACAATTATGCATCTTTAGCTTTTCTTTCTGGAAGAGCTGAGTGATGAGCACCTCTGTCCAGCCATCAGCCAGGAGGCTATCTCTGCAACCTTTAGAGCAGGTAAAAAAGAAAAAATTCTTTGGAATGTTTTGAAAAGCACAGAAATTGATTAGAAACTCAAAAATCAAATTCCAATCATAGAATATCAAAAGAGAAAAAAAAAGGAATATTTGGAAAATCTACTTCCAACACATATATCTAATGAATGACGTGTGGCCACACTATGTACACAGAGAATTCTGGACTCAGCAAAAAGGTGACTCATTGCAGAATTGGCAAAACTGAAAAGACACATTGAGTAGAAAATGCATAAACAGCCAGCAACATCTAGAAGCTCCCCACATTAGTCATTAGGAAAAGCTAAAACCACAACGACATGCAACTTCACATTCCCCAGAATAGCTGAGTTAAAAATCAGTAATAGCAAACCCCGGAAAAGAGGGCCAACTGGCGCTGTGTTTCAGGGTTTGAATCTGAAATGTCCCTGAAGGCTCATGTATTAGAGGCCTGGCTGATAGTGGCTGGGACTTTAGGAACTCACTGCATTAGGAGGGCTCTGCCTTCATCAATAGTTTAACCCATTGATGGATTCTTCATCATCTGATGGTGGTACTGGAAGGTGACAGACACTGAGAAAGGTATGGACTGACTCAAGACACACGGTCACCAGAGATATGACTCTGAAGGGTCTATCTTGTCCTCAGTCTCCTCCTGTCTCTTTCTGCTGTCTGGCAGCCATGAGGTGATGAGCTCTGCTCCAGTGTGCTCTTCCTCCATGACGGACTCCCTCACCACAGGTCCACAGACAAGCAGCCACTCTATTCATAATCGCGAGCAGGTGGAAAAGTCTAAATGCCCTTCAGTTGATGAATGGATAGTGAAAATTTATACATGTACACAACAGAATACTATTCAGCTGTCAAGAAAATGAGATCATGAAATTTACAGGTAGATGGGTGGAACTAATATGCTGAACGAGGTCACCCAGATCCCGAGTGACAAATGCTACATGTTCTCTCTCATTTGTGGTCCTAACTCTAAATCTTTAGATGTGAGTATACAACCTGGAATAACTGCAGAAGCCAGGGAGTCAAAATGAACCTTTGGGGTGGAGAAGGCGCTCTAGAGACCAGAATAGCAGGATACAGATGATTTGAAGGGGAGATGGGAAAGGGGAGGCATTAAGTGGGAGGGGAACGAGGAAAACACAGCAGGAGGGAGGAGGAGGGGCCAGCCACACTGGGGTGTTTGGAATAGCCACAGGGAATATTACTGTATGTATAATACATTAGTGGGGGTGGCCTGAACGAGAATGGTCCCCTAGGTTCACACTTTGAATGTTTTGTCCCTAGTATGACTGTTTAGGAAGGATTAGGAGGTGTGGTGAGGGGAGTGGGTGTGACCTTGAGAAGGTGTGTCAATGGGGGTGGGCTTTGAGGTTTCCTAGTCTCTGTCTGTCTCTTTGCCCCCCCCCATTCAGGATGTAAAGCTCTCAGCTGCTGCTATACAGTGCTATTACTGTCTGCTTCCTGCCATGATGATAATAGACTGACCTCTGAAACGAAGAAATGCCTTCTTTTCTAAGAGTTACCTTGGTCATGTCTCTTCACAGCAATAGATTAGTAACTAAGACAAAGTGTAGGTACATGCACGTGCGCTGACACTGACACACTGACACACTGACACACACACACACACACACACACACACACACACACACACACACACACACATACACACACGGTACTATGGTAGTGCTCTTCCCGAGAGCTAGACTACTTAACAAACCCCAGTATCAGGCATGAGAAACTTCCTTTTGAGCATTGGTCAGGGGAGTTCAAAAGGCCCCCAAACAATACAGGTTATTACTGTTGCCCTTGGCTGTCTCCCAGGAGTTGGAGGCAAGTCCTTACTGCTGAAGACAACAATCACTTTGGCCGACAGGATTCAGAGGGTTCAGGTTGGATCTGACCTGAAGACCTCTTCCCTGAGAACTAGTTTTTCTACTGCTGTGAAAGCTGCCAAGGAAGGAATGCTTATGAACACAATGACAGCAGAGCACGATTCCCTAAAGGTGCAACAGTGGCACTTACATCTTGGCAGTAACAAAGAGCTGTCCAATTGGATTTAGGTCTGATCAATAGGAGGAAAGTGAAAGTCATGCCTGCCTGGTGCTGGAAACCTAGCCAGCCAGCCATGGCTAGAGACACCGTGGATCTTAGAGGACCTACTCCTGCCCCTTTTCTATGCCAGTCGTTCCTAACTGTGTTCCAGACACTTACCCTTAGACCACAGGTAAGGTTGCTCTCGCCCCTCCAGCCATCATAGCTTCCTTCTGAAGCAGATGGAGACCATTATAGACAGTGGGGTGCCTGACCCTAGCCCCCACATCTACAAGGACACAACTCCTGCACCTAAGGTCAGGGAATGTCACTGATGATGGTGCTGAGGACCAGGAAGTCTGCTGCAAGACTGTGTCTTCTACACCTATGAAATCGCAGTGTGGCTGCTTAAGGGCAGAACACTGACATCACTAGCTGACATGCCAGCGTGGATGGGGAAGTCTCATAGAGCTCCATCTCTAGATGAAAAACATTAACAACTGCCGTGAGAGGGAGAACTAGTCCCTCTAGTCTTCCTCAGGGATGCATTCCCTAAATGGTTGTCTAACACTAAGTGGTCGGCCCTAAAACATGTGCATACAAGCAACACTAAATCATTCAGCTGACTCCCCACCGTGTGTGCGTGCGTGCGTGCGTGTGCGTGCGTGTGTGTGTGTGTGTGTGTGTGTGTGTGTGTGTGTGTGTGTGTAACAGTAATAATTAAGAAGAGGCCACGAATTTGAGAAGGCACTGGAGGAATGAAAGGGATAGGAGGCAGCGGCAGGGGAAATGATGTAACTATATTTTAATTTAAAAAATTAATGTTTTAAAAAGGACTGGCAAAAGGTTTAGGTGGTCATTTCACCACATAAAATGATTAATAATCAGATGAAAAAGTCCTCTGCATCATTATTTACCTTTAAGAAAATGCCAATTAAAACTAATGTGCTGGAAAAGTCTGACCAACTCAGCTGTCATACTAGCCCAGATATAGTGCTCTGAGTCAGTGAACCCCAACTACTCCATCTACAAGCTGCTGGACCATGAGGAGGAACTGGTGTTGCAGAACCAGATCTGGGAGCACGTCATCACCAATGAAGATGAAAACCTGAAGCATGGCTGTGATTGAGGAAGTCTCAGCCATGGTCAGGTATTTATGGTGCTTCAGAGACCAGAGTCTTTGGTCCAGACCAATGACTTGTGGCAAAGAGTATTTGCATGTAGAGCTGTGTGGGTAAAGAGGTACTGAGTAATGTGCTATGGTTTCCAAGGCCACTGGGGGGGGGGGAAGGATGGACGAACCAAGTGGCACATACACGGTAGAGAGAGGCCTGAGCTGCTGCTAAAAGCCATGTTGATGTGCTGGCCTGTACTGCCGCCTGAGGCCATGTTGATGACTGTGGTCCATGCTGCCACCAGGGGCCTTGTCTGGGTCTGTGGTGCTGCTGCAGCTAGGGGCTGTGTTACTACCCAAGGCCATTCCAATATCCGTGGTCTGTGCTGCCACCTGAGGCCATGTTGATGTCTGTGGTCCATACTGCCACTTGAGGGCCATGTTGGGGAGGCCAGGTGGATGTCTGTGGTCTGTGCTCTTGCCAGCAACCATGTGGAAGTCTATGATCCATGCTCCTGCTGACTGTAAAGGACAAGGAAGCTTCTCCTGCAGTGGTATCGATGACAGCAGACTCACAGTTGAGAAAGAGGGACATAGAAGGTTCCTGTGACACCGCCCACCATCACCCTCCCTGAAAAAACAAAACAAAACAAACCAGCCCAGACAGGAAGCCATCAAAGAGAACTCTTAAAAATTTTGATAAGGATGCTGAAGCAAGCTCTCCACAATAATGGCTACTGGCAGGGGTAGGGGTGGAGGTGGGAAAGGATTCATTTTTCTTTAAGGGGCTGGCCACTGAGAGGTTGACCATGTTCCAGTGACCATAGGACAACACAAATTGAACTTTTTTTTAAAATCTTTTTGGGAGGAGAAGGCCACTGGGGAGGGGGAGACCTAAGACTAGGAAGTAAGGGTGATGGATGTTTTTCTGTCAGCTTAGTGGCTGCACATGTATTAATTATAATCTGGGCCCCAGGGCCCCACAGTCAACATCCCACTGGCCACTCAGGCCATGGCCTGGAGGGCCTTCTGGTCCCACATCCACCATATGTAGGTTTAAACTAAGTCTCTATTGTTCTATTTTACCAACAAAGACTCGGAAGTCAGATGTGAGAGTAAAAACCTGCTAGATCAGAAAGGCCAAGAAGCAACCAGCTGACCATGGTTTTTGGCTAGAGACCCAGCAGGAATCATGTCTCTTCACTCGTTCCAAAACCAAAAGGAAGAGCTAAACTCAAGTCCCTACCCTTTCCTTCCTGTGTGTCTTCTCTATCCAAATTGTTTAGAAACTCCATCCAAGTTTCTCTATGGCCAATTCCAGTCAGCTAGTTATGGTGATATTTCATTTGTACTGAAATGTGATTTTATTTGTATGTTAATAAATAAAGTTGCCTGGGGGTCACAGCTAATAGCAAGCCATAGCAGAGCTGGGCGGTCGTGGTGCACGCCTTTAATCCCACCCAGCACTTGGTAGGCAGAGCTAGGTAAATCTCTGTGTGGTCAAGGATACAGCCAGCATTGGAGACACACGCCTTTAATCTCAATACCAACCATAGAAGATCTGGAGGTCTGTACAGGCAGGCAGTGACGAGGCGGTCATGTGGTTGGGTTTACAACCAATGAGAAGGCAGAACAGAAAGTCTATATAAAGACAAACACTCAGGAAGTAGGTCTCTCTTGACTGAAGAGGCTAGCTGCAGCAGACGGGTAAGGTTCTGAGCTCTGATCTCTTGGCTTTCTTCTTTGCACTGGTTCTGTGTTTCTTATTTAATAAGATGGTTGGTTACATCTACAGCTAGTTGCTAGCTCTACTCCCTGATTCAAGGTAAACTG